ACTGAGCAACTTTCAGAGATCAGGTCTAAGTAAATCATAAGCTGCATGAAAAGAAAGTTTATAAAAGCAATTTTCTGTGCAAGCAGGTTGGCTACAATTGAAAAGAAATTGTATATGAGTCTTTCTCAGGATTAAACTTTGATGTTAAAAATACACTGATACAGAACTTTAAAGTTTGGTCCCCTGTATTAAAACAAGGTTTTCTTAAAATACTGATTTGGTCTTAGCAAAATTGCAAGAGTAATTTTTAATTTGCAAATCTGTTCCCTTAATAGTAATCCTCTAAACTACGAACAGTTTCTGTTTCTGGCATATTTCCTCCTGAGATCTATATAATTTTCCTGTTTTCAGGTTGTAAATGCAGCGCTCTTTCTCTTGGTCCTTGAAAAGGTAAATTCTTTTTGCATGGCCACATGATAACCATCTCCTTCAACCTTTTTGTCATCTCCTGTAACTTTTTCTCTGGTTCTAACACTGCTGTCATGGCCTGATGCTAAAATGTTTATTTTGAAGTTCTAGAAAACCAAAGTTTTCCTTCATTATAACTTGATTTTACACTCTTGGCTTTTCTTGATGTGTCTGAATTGTTCCATGTAACCAGGAAGCTTCCTATGCTGTTCCTAAGAACCAAGGATTTCCATGTTCAAGGTACTAGTTTTCTTGTTTACATTTCTCTATAATAGCATACGCTTAGAATTCTGGATACACTCTTTCTGTGCCTGATTAAATTCAAATACCCTTTGCATCAGGTTTAACTTTCAGGTTATGCGAATGGGCTTTCCATAAGGAGAAGCAGTCATACTAAAGAGGTTTGTTTCCCCTTTACCTATTAGATAACTGGTCTAGTAAGCTAAGAGTCTGCGTTTTACTGAGATAATTTCTTTGCTTCATGTTGTTTTTATTAGGCTTTTCATTATTTAGGGAAACTGAACTTTAAAAAAAGGTAGGATTTTCACATCCATGTAAATCTGTATTCTTTTTGAAGTCTTCTGATTATCACTTTGTTTATTTAGCAGTGATATATGATTCTGGTTAATCAAGTATTTTGAACCTTTTGACACCTTTGGCAGGTTTCCTCAATACCAAAACCCTAAATTAGGACTCTTTGATCTTGTAGAGATACTAAATGATTAGACTTATTTGGCAAATCATATGTGAAGCATATCAAATGAGAAATGGTATTTAACTCCCTTTAAGTTATATTTATATAAATATGTTACTAATATGTGTTCCAGATTGCATGAGATCTTAAAATTCCGAGATGTTATATGATATGGTTTAGATTTGTGTCCCCAGCCAAATCTTATGGTGAAATTGTAAACCTCAATGTTGGAGGTGCAACTTGGTGGGAAGTGATTGGATCATGGGAGCAGGTCCTCATGAATGGCTTAGTACCAACTTGGTACTGTCCTCAGGATAGTGAGTTCTTGTGAGATCTAATTGTTTAAAAGTGTGTAGCACCTCCCCCCGACCAACATCTTTCTCTCTTGCTCCTGCTCTGGCCATGTGAGACATCTTCTCCCACTTTTCCTTCCGTCATGATTGTAAGTTTCCTGAGGCCTCCCCAGAAGCCAAGCAGATGCCAGCATGATGCTTCCTGTACAACCTGCATAAACATGAGCCAATTCAACGTCTTTTCCTTATAAATAACCCAATCTTGGGTATTTCTTTACAGCAATACAAGAATTGACTAATATATCATAATATGTGTTATCAGTCTTGAGTATGATTGTTTTGTTAAATGATTGTGTGCCACAAAAATATCTTAATTTTCTTTTAAATTTTCTTGCAATTATTTCTACATTCTTTCTAACAATTTCCTTGTAAACTCTCATCAGAGTTTTTATCATGGCTGTTCTGTATTTTTCTCCTCCACAATTATTGTTTTAAATTCTTCCCTAGTAGCATTTGCAATCAGCTATAGCCCAAAATTACTAATTAGAATTAAGGAAAACAAATAACTGAAAGTGAGTAATTGATAAGGATAATTTTATGACTTTTATTTAAAATGTTGGTTCTAAAATATTTTTTCAGATTCAAGAAATTTTTCTTTCATTAGCTATAGTTTACAATAATTTGGTGAAGTATACTTTTGTGAACACCAGTGGAAGCATTTGCCTTACTCCAAACTTGAGTCCTCCAAAATTCAGACACTATTTGTGAGCATTCTTACTGTGTTTCTGTAAGTTCAGTAAACATCTGCTCTCCCTTTATAAGCAGGATACTATTGGAAATGCTGATTATATTGCTAGGCTTTGACTGAAAAGTCATATTTAAGAAGGGTCATAAAATGCCTGACTTCAAGAGTTCCCAGCCTTATAGTGAATGCATAAAACTTGTCACTTCCTGCTGGGCCCAATAACCTTAAGACCCTAAATAAAATCTAAAGCCTGCCTTGATTTGGCTTCTTAACCTCTAGAGTTTCTAAAACCTGAAAGTTCCTGTATGATTAATGTGGAGAGAAAAAGTCATGTTCTTAAGAAAAACTAACATGCACCTATTATTAGCCCTGTGCCCTGTTTTCAAGTTCTGGTTTTCTACCTGTAGACTGGACTGGATCCTGAGTTCTCCTAATTTCCTACAATATCTGGCTACAATTAAACCCTGATAAAGTTTACCAGCCCTCTTCCCTCAAGCAGAACTATAGAGCCTCTCAGGACATTTCCCTTACTCGAATTACTCAGCTAGGGGAATTAGGTATTAAGATTGGAGAAAACTCATCAGAGCTCTGGTCAACACTGGGGCTACTCTGTCCATCCTTAACCCCAGCATGCTTTCCGTGGACCCTCCCCAGGGTTCTGAATTCATCCAGATGGTTGGGGTAGCCAATCAACCTATGATGGTTCCTAATCTTCACCTATCGTTTTCCAACTAGTACCCCTCATGGGCAGTTGTTTTTCGTTCGGGCTTCCACACACTTCCTAGGAAGGGACTTCTTAGAAATATTCCAGGCCCGTATTTTATTCTCCCAGAAAGGAGAAATAATACTTGAGTTATCCTCACCAGGAGATTTTGCCACGGAAATACCTTTTCCCAAATTCCCATCTATTCAGTTATCCCCACCAGCACTACCTACCCTGTTCTCTAACAGTTATAATCCAACACTGATGATAACTCCTCAGATTATGAAAATAATAGTTGTTGATACTCTCAAGGATATAATTCATCTAGAAGAGTTAACCCTAGAAGGAGCTAGATTAGGAAGGTTTTTTGGGTCCCAATTTAAACTAGATTCTGCTTGGAATTCATAAATGATCAGAAACCCTTCCTGAACTGTTCACAGAATTGCCTGCTCCACCACCCAAGCGATCAGAGTGCAACAGAGGTCCATAGACTCCCTTGCTCGTGTGGTCCTAGACAAACACATTGCTTTAGACTCTCTCCTCCCTGCACAGAGTGATGTTTGCGCTGCTGCTGCCACTTTCTGCAGGGTAAATACTTCCAGGCAGGTTGAATTGGGAACATGTAAGATCTTAAGGCTAGCCAAATCTCTGAAAAACACCTTCAAAAAGCCTCCTGGCTGGACTTTCTAGGTTAAGTTTCTGATCTCCAGATATTTCCAGCTGGCTTCCGCTGCAGTAGGGTTCCTTCTGCATGCCACCCTACAAGTCTTGATCCTCCTCATGTTTGGCCTAAGCATTTGGCGCCTCTTTAAGATTTTCCTAGCCTATTTTAACTGATGCCTGCAAGAGACCCCCACTAGAATCGTGCTGACCTAACCTTTGAGACTTCAAACTTTCTCCAGCCAGAAAGGGGAACCAAGTTAACCCAAAAGCATTTGACTCAAATTTAACAGGTACCTGTATGCCTCTCATGATCACACGTGTATGCAGAAGTGAGATCTAGCAAAAAGTGATTTTCAATTGTGCAAGACCATGGCCTGAGAGTTTAAGAAACTTTGGGCTGAGATTTCAAGGACTTGAGATATAGCTACTGTTGAATATTTGGTAATCATTAAGCAGACAATTTTGCAGATGTTAAATGTTAAGTTAAACATGTTTAATGTTTTATTTTAAGTAAAATAAGTCATTTCTGTTTCAATTCAGAATATGACAGTATCAGAATAACAGGAGCTAACCCTAACTGAACACTTAAAGTTTGCCAGGCAAACTTCATTTCTCTGGATTTCTCAAAAATTGGCAGTTTTACTCTGCACAAAAATCGCATGAGATATGTGGCTTTGCTGATAAAGAAATGGAAATCCAGAGAGATGAAGTCACTTACTCAAAGTCACCCAGCTACATGATTTGTGGCTCTGGAAGTTCAGCTACTAGGACTCTTCCAGCTTTCTACAGGTGTCATGAAAGCACAAGACCACACACACACAGCTCTGATGAAAGACGACTGAAAGGAAGATTTCAGTAAAAAGGTCAACAAGGCTTTCTAAGAAAACTGTAAAGATAAATAAACGATGGGTCGCAGTAATTCTCACCAACTAGGAAGCATCTTAGAAAAGCACTGGATTTCCTCTAACTAAAAGCATCTATAAAAAATGATATCAAAATACAGGAAGATGTAAATACCTAAATTCTAACACTGTCACCTTGCATACATTAGGCTGAATAGCTAATGGACTAAGACATAAATTCAATTTTTGTTCCATGCGTTTTTACTGTGATCTGAAAGGGGTCTTGAGGTGAATGATCCTGTACTCATCTTCCACCAGCCAATCAGTCTGTTTATTATTTGGCTCTAAAAAGAAACTTTTCCTGAGGACCCGCCCCCCACCCCCACTATGATGGAGCAAAAACTATTACTTGGCTATGTCAAGAGAAAGCAATGCAACAAGTACAAAGCGTGCTGATCAATGCCCCTGTGTCTATCTCTAATCAGACAGAAAGCTGGATATTGATAGAGACTGCTATCCTCATCTGTAACTACATCAAGCTAGAGAGACTGTTATAATACAAGTGGTCTGAGGCAGCCCTGAGTAGAGAAACCAGGAATGCTGGTCCCGATCTCTAGTCTTCAGTCTTGGCCCTGTTTCAACTTTCACTTTCATGTGTGAAAAATCGAAACTCTAACTCAACTGAGTGTTGGTCAAAGAAGGTGTGTCCTGCTTCCCATGACAGGTTGCTCAGAGACTGCTGATTTCCACCCCTATATAAAGAGAGTCCCCGGCATACAGGGACTGCTGTGCTCCAGGCGTCTGCCACCATGTGGGTACTCACACCTGCTGCTTTTGCTGGGAAGCTCCTGAGTGTGTTCAGGCAACCTCTGAGCTCTCTGTGGAGGAGCCTTGTCCCGCTGTTCTGCTGGCTGAGGGCAACCTGGCTGCTAGCTTCCAAGAGGACAAAGCAGCAGCTGGTCTGGAGAGAGCCAGATGAGACCAAAGAGGAGGAAGAGGACCCTCCTCTGTCCACCACCCCAACCAGCGTCAACTATCACTTCACTCGCCAGTGCAACTACAAATGCGGCTTCTGTTTCCACACAGCCAAAACATCCTTTGTGCTGCCCCTTGAGGAAGCAAAGAGAGGATTGCTTTTGCTTAAGGAAGCTGGTAAGTCCATGGTCCCAGACAGAAATCAGGATTCTCAACCATTCGGCAGTAGGGTAAGGCGAGAAGGGGCTGGGGGCACACACAAGCTGGTGAGCTTCTCCAAAACTCAAGGTCACCGTTTGCCATTGCACGGTGAGCATGTTGTCCTAGGAGAAAATAATTCAGTGAATTTTGGAGTGGGCACCTAGTCCTTCCTAAATCACAGAGTTGGCCTGGAGCAGGGGATTTGTGGAGCAAACCTGTCCCTCCTGCCACTTGGAAGTGAGCAGGGGTCTATGCAAAGGGCAGGTCCCTGTTACACTCGGTGTTTGGAAAGAGGCGGTTTGGGAAGATTGTACCACTTTCTGAGTTTGCCCACAACACTAATGAATTTGGGTTTTCTAGAAACAGTTATTAATAATTAGGAAAGTTGGAAACAAAAACAAAAACTTTGACGTAAAAACAGCAGCGGTTGAATCTTATATTTGAGTTTGTGTATATTCTTTTAATAGGAAGCCTTACAATTTTTTTGGCAAATATGTCAAGGACTTAGCTCTCAAGAATGCTTACTGAGTATCACCACGTTAGTAACTGGCAGCATCTTGGAGAGTACTCAGCATGTGACCTTCGAATGCAACATCTTCCACTCCAGATCTGTTCTTCCTTCCATCCTTGTCTTCCTGTCTGTCTTAGAGTACCTTCTCAGCTAGTAACTTCAGCAACATCTCTAGCTTCTTTCCCTCCTTGTTTAACTTTTTAACAAAAGCATAGCATACATGCACCATATTACACATATTCTGGGTGTGCATCCTGATGAATTTCACAAAACAGTCACACTCATTTTCTCCAAACACCAAAATCGCTAAGACAATGGTCATATTGTTGTCTCTTCCTAGAATGTCTGTCCTCAAATCTTTGTTGATGAACTTTCAAAGCTCCTTTGAATTCTCCTTGGTTCTCTGCAGCCATAATTGTGCCCTTTACTTTTCACTTGTGAACTCATGGCACTTGCTACAAATGTGTCTTGCAGCTTTGTAAAATGTACTATTTTGTTCAGTTTTTTTTTTTTTTAATATCTGGTTCCTCAAAAAAATTGCATTCCAAGGTTGAATTTTACCCTCCTGTGTATCTTCATGCCTGGCAGAATGTCTAGAATGTAATAGAGGCTTAAGAAATGTTTTAGATAAATGAATGAATGCATGAGTGAGTGAATAAGGAGACATGTCGAGTGAAATTTCGACTTTCATTCAGAAGGCCAGGGTTTGAGTTTCTGCTCTAACATTTTCTAGACTTGTCAAGACATTTAGCTTTTCTGAGTATCAGTTCCATGATCTTTAAAATTATCTTTAGATAATAATGATAACTGATAAACCAATCTCAAAAGTTGGTACAAGGCACAAACAAGTGAATGTTCATGTATTTTGTCATAAAAGATAAATTATTAATAGTTATAATTAATACTTTTATATAATATCCTCTTGTTTTAAGTAAATAAAACCAAAGTTAATTGAAGTGCTTACAGGATAATGTAGGTTGTATTTTCCTGTAAGAGAGATTTCTATATAATGGAGGAAACCTATTTTTTTGGTTGTAGGAATTAAAGAAAGAGGAAAGAATCACAAAAGGTGGCTCCACAGTCAAGGACAGGTTTATTTTAGAGAAAACAAACCTGATAGGGGCTTGTGGCTGAGTTAGGTCAGAGCCCATACTCTTACAGACCAAGAGTTTTAAGGATTTAGGGTGGGAGAGTTTATTAGAGGCTTGGACTGCTTCTGTTTCTCTTTGTTGTGTTTATCTGGGAAGGAGAGTTGTGTGTCTGTTACCATACATCTTCCTGCAGCTGCAGGCATACCCACCCTGAATCTGCTTTTAGCTTCCCTATCTTAGAGCACTGAAGAGAAACGAATGTGCTTATTAAGGCCCACTGTTTTCCTGGGGGCCATTGTATGAGAATGAAGTTTGGCAGTTACCTAAGAGACTTCCCTCAACCTCCCTCTGTGCCCGAGCTGTATTATCTGTGTTTTACTGTCTGCTCTTTCTGGCTGCTTGTAGTTAGAAGAGAAGTGACTTCCTTAAAATGCATAAGGCTAGAAAGGGAGCTGGAACTTGAAGTGGTGGTGTTTGTCTGAGATGACGATGTTCCTGCTCTGTCGGTGGTAATTAAAGGTTTACATTTACATTGAAATTTAAATTTTAATATATATTTTATATATTGTATTTAAAATTAAAATTTACTCTTCTGGCTAAAGATGCTTCTAAAATATACTATTTACTTTTCTGGCTTTTAAACTGTTTTGAAATTCTATTCAGAAAGACTGAATAGAATTAAAAATAATGAGCATCAGATCTGGGCTGTAATATGATCACTCGTGCATGTTAACACTATTGTAAATCAATTACTCCTTGTCTAAGATCTTAACTATGCCTCTAAATTCTATTCCTTCCATTTCCTTATTCTTCCATCCCTTCTAAATATAGTCCTCAAAATTGTTAGCAGTTCTGTGCCACTGGCCAGGCCCCTGTCTTACTTTCTACAGTTTATCTGCCACTACGTCACCACACTACTTAGGTAATTATGTTTTATTTGGTTTTCGGGTTATAATGAGTGTCACTCAAGCTGCCTCCCAGCATGATGGATCATAAATAGGTGGTATAATGTCTCACTGTCCAATCATAGAGACGTCTGAGCGTGAAAGGGGGCACTAAAACTCACAGATACTGTTTTGTTTACTATAAACCAAAACTGTTCCAGGCACACCAGCCTGGAGGCTTCTCTACTTATAAAGACTCCAGGCTTTGGATCTAGGCATGTACCTTAGCTCTACTTTTCTCTTGTCTTATGATCTTCAGCAAGTTGTTTAACCTTTCTTGACTTCAGTTCTTGCACTAAAAACCAGATAATAATTCCTTCCCCATGGGTTATTTAAGGGTTGAAAGCTTTAACCATATTACCTTGGGCGATGTATGGTGAGACCAGATACAGATTAAGAGAGACGAAAAAGAGGTTTGCACAGGCTCACTCTCCTAGAATGCAGGCAGGCAGGTGTATGACGCATAGGCCTGTCCTTCCAGAATGCAGACTGGTAGGTGTATGGCACAAAGGCCCGTCTTCCTAGAATGCAGGCAGGCAGGTGTGTAACGCATAGATCCATCCTCCTAGAATGCAGGCAGGTGGCTGTATAACGCACAAGCCCATCCTCCTAGAACACAGGCAGGCAGATGTGTAAACGTAGACCCCATCCTCCTAGAATACAGGCAGGTGGATGTGTAACGCATAGACTCCATCCTCCTAGAATGCAGGCAGGTGGGTGTGTAACACATGCAAGAGACAGATGTTCTTCTCTGAGAAAACAAAATGACCCCAAAGTAAAGACCAAGGATATTAGCAGTTGGAGGTTTTTCTGTGAATAAACCGGTTTACCTCTCTGTCTCTCTCTAGTGAAACCCTCCTTTGGACCAGCCCCTCCCTTCATCATATAAATTCCATTCACTTATTTTGTGCCACACTGAAATTTAAATGAACAAATAAAAACATCAAAAGAAAAGGCAGACACCAAAACAAATACCCAGAGAGGATGTAGGAAGAAGAAAACTTCCAGAAAAACTCTAGTAATTGCAGAGAGATAAGAGAAAGAATTGCATATATGAAACAAGAATAGAATGCCTGGAAAGGAATAGTCAGAATATGGAAGTGTCTGGGGAACTAAAAATGGGGTTTCTAAAATTAAAATCTTAATAGAAAGACGAAAAGGCAAAGTCTTGCCAAAATGAGACCAAAAAATCAGGATTGATATAGAAAGGAAGATGATAAGAAAATAGTAGTTAAATTTAGAAACTCCAGTATTCCAGTAATACAAGTTCTAGATTCCTGCTTTTACATTTTTTTCAGGAAGCCTGTAAAGGGATTTTCTAAAATAAGGGAGTAGCCCAAGAGAGAGGGCGACACGGAATCCAGGACAAGGAGTGGGGATGGGAAACGCAGAGTGAGGAGGAATGTTATTCCCTGGCTGGCAGCTGGCCTGTGGACAGTCACGCCGCATGGCAGGGATGTGGCTTTCTGCTTTGCAAATCCTGGTGCTGCCTCATTGTACCCTTTGGTGTCTGAGCAATTCTATTCATCTGTGTAACCAATTCCCTGCATCCCTGTTTAGACCCCAAATTAAACATATGCTATTCCCATTGGGTGGGATTGGTGTTGAGAACTAGGGTTAGGGGAGGGGAAGATAATGAGAAAATTTTATTTCTTTTTTTTACATTGAGAAAATATTACTTTTGCTATTAAAAAAATAATGTATATTTGTGAAGTGGTAAAATTCATGTATCACCTTGCACAGGTATGGAGAAGATCAACTTTTCAGGTGGAGAGCCATTTCTTCACGACCGGGGAGAATACCTGGGCAAGTTGGTGAAGTTCTGCAAAACAGAGCTGCAGCTGCCCAGCGTGAGCATCGTGAGCAACGGAAGCCTGATCCGGGAGAGGTGGTTCCAGAATTATGGTGTGCTTCATGGGATGGCACTCTCCTTACTGCTATTGTTATTGTTGGTTCTTGTATTTCCTTCCATCCTGGGCCTTCAGCCAGACCTGCTGAGGAGAACTGGAAGGCAGGAAAAACTAATCTTGCTAACTCTAATCGCTTTTCAAGCTGTGCACGGCATTATGGCAGTTTTACTTCCTTAGGGCTCTCAGTAAACAAGTTTGGCAAGTTAGATAATAGACCTTATTACTGAGATGACTATCTTGTACATTGCAATTTAGCAAATACAAGATCTATGGCCTTAGTTTAGACACTAGGTAGGAAAATTAACACATTTGACAGCTTTGTAATAAAATATCTCTGCTGGGACTGGACTGGATCCATAGACTAATTGTATCAGAACCTCGTGGTATGTGGATTGGCCAATATGGGGAGCTCCAAGGGATTCTACCGTGTAGCCAGAATTAAGAACCGCTGAATTCTAAGTCTGCTGAGATTCCTCGCAGTTTTCAGCAGATGTCATGTCCATAGAGCAGTGCTTGAAACTTAGCAAGGGCTTGGAAAACATTAGCTCTTCTTATATGGACTGTCATGTTGGGAAACAGGTACAACCTGTTATAGTGAAATTCTCTGTTCTTGTTTATATGAGCTGTTCGAGACTTGAAGTCTTTCCAAGAGAAGCTGCATTTATAATCTGTTGAGGATGTTGCTGAGACATCTCTGGTACACCATCTGTGATGGTGCGGACATGGACTGTGGGGGACGGACACTGTGGATGTGGGTTGGAGGGTCCATCTGATAAGGGTTAAGCAGGTAGAGAAGAGTCAAGGTGTCAGGTGCAGGTGCATCAGGAAAGGCCTACAAGGCAGCGTGTAAAACCGAAACGGTAGTGAAGGGAGGCACTTTGTCACACAGGCGGTCTGAGGTTGAAAAGTGAACTTTGGGAACCATACTCAGAGAGAGAAAAAAGAAACTGAGGAAGCAGTGTGATGGAGAGTACCTGGCGGGATTTTCTGGGTGGGTACCCAGCCAAGGCCCTTCCTCTAAGATCAGTCATCCAGGATGTCTTTGTGGTGTACAGATCAGGGATAGTGCTGCACGTCCAGGTCAAATCTCTCAGGCTTGTGGGAGAAAGTGGTATAAATTAGTGAATTTAGAAGCATATAAGAAAAGTCACTGTCAGCAGCTTGGAGACAATAGGAAAGCACAAAGACTGGAGGACGGGAAGCACTGTGCCCTATTCCTATAGTGCATGGGCGGAGAGCCAGCTAAGAGGTTTCATTGATTTTTGTGCAGCAAGATAATTTGGATGATCCTCAAATTATTAAACATAGATCAAAAATATACAATTATAAACATTTGTAAATAATTGGAAATACTTTTAGGCATTGTGAGGAACAAATGTATACAGATGCCTATCTGGCCCATAAGCTGCTAATTTTCCACCTCTGGCTCAATGGGTCAGGGATGGGTCATGTGCTTGAGTGGATGAAGAGAGCTGTTTTAGAACCCCACTGCCTCGCCAAGTTTGGTAATTTGCTAGAAGGACTTCCAACACTCAATAGCCAGCTATACTCATGGCTAGGGTTTATTAGAGTAAAGGATACAGAACAGAAACAGCAGGGTAATGACATATATATATCACCAGAGTCCAGAGAGTCCAGACACAGGCCCTGAGTCCTTCTCCATCCCAGGCCTCACAGGTTGTACTTTCTCTCTAGCAGTGAACTACAGGGACATAGTTGGAATGTGTTTGCATAGGAAGGTCCATTTGAGTCTTAGAGTCTGAGGCTTTATACAGGGCTGGTCATTTATGCACATGCTGCTATGTAACCAGCTATTGGAACTGAAACTCAGGACCCCAACAGTGCAACCAAGGAAGTCGTGGATCTGGCTAAACAATCCTGAGAAGTCTTGACAAGTTGATTTAACATGCTCCATTGCCCCAGGTTTATACACCTCACCAATGATAAGTAGAATATTGTAGTTGCCATATATGCAGGGGTTGGCCAAGATTCCACCATGGTTCCGGGTTCTGGAAAGATATAGGGACTGAGCAAACAGATCTGTTCCATTAAATCTTTCTTCCCAAGAGCTTTGGCAAGGAAAAGCTGAGAACAGGAGGATAGTTATCATGGACATACAGCAAAAGTTGGAAGGGGGGCAGAAGATAGCAATTGACTTACAGATCCTCAGATGACTTGTCTTGACTTTTGCATAACTGATAAGTCTCTGCATTTTTGGTTTTGAACTTAATTTCTGGTCTGTTTGGAGATCAGGTGCTCAGTGACTTGCCTTTTCACAATGTGATATGCCATTAGGAATTTATTTGAGATCAATTTTTAGAATGTTTCGAGTTGTTTTAAATCATGGACAGTTGCCTTATTCTGGCTCCAGTTTATGCTAGATGTTTTGAGGGCATATGTTACATATGGATAAAATAAAATTAGCCCAAAATAGCAGTCAAAATGACTCCCTTGTAATATTAGAGGATAGCTGCTTAAAGAGTTTTTGGAATTTCCAGCTTCTATAATTTGAAAGTAATTTTAAGAAAAGCAGTCAACTCTTAAAAAGTCACAAAACTAGGAAAACTCTGACTTAATCAACTGCAAGGAGTGACTCAGCCATCAAGAATGCCTGTACTTAAGAGAGAAGTGGATAGCATGAAGGAGCAGAGGAAACTGGAGGGGTAATAAGAGAGGTGGAGCAGAAACTAGTGTGACAGAAACCAAAGCAAAGGTAATTGTGAACACTTTCTGTACTCCCGAAATGACATGCTATCACAGCTCTTCACATACCATGTTGCAAGGAGGGTCTGTTTACACTTTATTCCCACACCAGGCTTCCCTTTCTCTTGGTTTTCTTGGCATCTAACACAGTTGTCATTGACATCACATAGAGTGTTTCTAAATATTTAGATGATGAATCAACTATTAAGGAGATGTCCGGAAGAAGCTGATGAACTTAGCAAAAATACTAGGGATCTTCAGCAGAGCAATTTTATCTGTGTGATGGAAAGAAAAAGAAGTAAATTTGTAACTGTTCATAAATAAGTCTATAGGCATCCAAATAGATCTACCTGCCTCAGAAATTACATACTTTGTATGCAGGAATAAATGAAAAACCTGATATATTTAAATATGTCAGTAAGTGCTCACACACATACATGTGCAGAGTTTTCAAATAATCAACTAAGTATTTGCATCCTTATTTTACATATATATTTAGTTTTTCAAGTTTATTTGACATAAGAAGAAAGTATAATTCATATCTCAGTGAGTTTCGTGGGTATAAGGAAAAGTGTCTTTTTAAAAATTAAAACAACATATATTTTATCACAAGAGATATAATAGCCTGAGGGGCTTGGTGCTTGGATAGAAAAGTTTAAAAATGATCATTTTCCCTCAGGTGAATATTTGGACATTCTCGCTGTCTCCTGTGACAGCTTTGATGAGGAAGTCAATGTCCTTATTGGCCGTGGCCAAGGAAAGAAGAACCACGTGGAAAACCTTCAAAAGCTGAGGACGTGGTGTAGGGATTATAGAGTCGCTTTCAAGATAAATTCTGTCATCAATCGTTTCAACGTGGAAGAGGACATGACGGAACAGATCAAAGCACTAAACCCCGTCCGCTGGAAAGTAAGTACACAAGGTCGCTTTTGCTGATTTCCTTCAAGAAAACATTCAGGAATGACTTTTTTCAATGAAATTGAAAATAATACTGACACAAGAGAACTCTGAACCTCGCAAGCCAGTCCGGAAGTCAGATTCTTGGTCTTTCAGCTCTGTTAGACTTAAAACTGTACTTTTCTTTGCCTTACTTCCCGTTTCTGAAGACTTGAAATGATTTCCTTTGGAAATATTGTGAGGATAAACATAAAAAAATATGCTCAGTGCTTGGAAATGTTTGGAATAATATGTTCATAGAAAGCCTACATTTCTTTTTAAAACTCTTGGCTTATGAATGGACAGATACAGGTTCCTCATAAATTCTGATGCAGTGAATTTCTAGAAGACATTAGGGGTAAAGTCATCCCCAAGTTGTAGCAAAATGGGACCTTTACTCCCAGATTCATGCTTTAGGGCTGGTGCCACTACCAGCTACTAAAAGCCTGAAGTCCACACACATGCAAGCCAACTCCATATATGCAGCTCCCACCGTGTGCAGACATGCATGACTAAAATCCCAGGTTTCTACCTTTGCTTGTCAGAGTCAACTCAGGAGGCTGTTTAAAAGCAGTTTCTTGGGCCTCATACCTGCTGTCCTGAAACAAGGCCTGTGGTGAAGGCAAGCATAGCAGCGAGGGCTTGCACAAGCATGTCTTTCTAACAGGCAGTCCTGGGGACTCTTGTATAGCCACCCAGCGCCTGTGTCTGGAGCCCAGCATAGATGCAATGAAAGATAAGATGCAGAGCGCAGTGCTAGCACAAACACACAAAAAGAGATGTGGGAAAAGTCACATAATAGAAAGCTATGTGTGCTATCATACCGTGAAATGGCAAAAGAGGCTGAGCTTAAGCAGAAGGCTTCGTATAGGTGGAGGCATTTGGCTATGCTCTGAAAAATGGAAAGAATTTTCATAGGTGGCAAAGACCTGAAGAAGAAAGCCACATCCAGACTAGAGGGCTTGCCTGCACAAAGAACAGGTTTTCCTTCAAAGCTGCCTTGGCTATTTCTTTTAATCCCATGTCAGCATTCCAGATAGAGTTAGGGAGGAGGGAAAGGGATATTCTATCATTTTCCTGAAGCTGTCCTGTAATATGTGGAAATGGGTTAGGGGAAGCTGGAGATGCTACTTTGAAAAAATTTTAATAGGTATGTTGAACTTGAACTTTTGGTTACATGTATAAGGACATGAAAGATCAGCCTCATTTCCAGGTGTAGAAGGAACTGGAGAAAAGCTAGAGAGAGAGAGGTCTGATAGGAAAAACAGGAACACGATCTACCAGGAAGGCAGAGGCTCCAGCTGGAGGGCTAAGCTACCTTAGAGACATTGACTTTCCTGCCTGCCCCTCTCCTGTCCCCACCTCTCTCCTCTGCCCCATGTTTCCTGTTACTGTCTTCCTCATTGCTGTCTTTTGGCATCCTTTTTTCAGATGTATAGGTATTTTTTCCCCAAGCTTGGTGTTCTCCTATCTCATGGCCTTTCTCTCAGATATATTGACTTCTACACTGGCTTCCATTCATCTGATTCACTCTAGATTTGCCATCAAGATCCTGACTCTTTTGGTGGAAGGCTAGCTTCTGCCTGTTTGGAAAACCAGATTGTTGATATATGCAGGCTTCCAATTGATGTAAATTGATGCTCCTGGATCAGGTGCCTGTTCTTAGTCCAATCGTACATTGCACTCAGAACCTGGTTTCCTGAGGCTGCCTCCTCCACCATGAGGCTGTGGGCTGGAAGGTGTCACCAGCCGTGTCCCCGGGACAACAGCACTGAGCATACGATTACTCATTGGGAGGCTTTGTTGTGACCTGTAGGCTTGCTCCAGCAGCATGGCAGGAGGGAGCTCCTTCTACTCTTCCATGCCCAATCCCACGCCCTCAATATTGTTCCCCTTCCAGCTCCTACAGCTTGGTTTTCTCCTGCAGAGGCCCTTCCATTCTAGCTGGCTGATTCTGGAGTCAAAGTCCCTGGGAAAAAATGCCTGTGATGTATGTCTTCTTTGATAGTCAAGTCTGCTCATGATCCAAACCTACATGGAAGGGCCCTCCCTGCCAGGCCTCTCCGTACCCTGAGCCTGAATGGGGCATGGGGATGGGTGATGATCCCTCCCAAGATGCTCACAGTCTTTTAAGGAAGAAACCATGAAAGCAAAAAGCAAAGGGGACAGTGGAGGCAAATATCAAAAGACCGAGGAGCAAAAAAGAAGGGGAAAATAAAGAGTGAGCAAAAAAGGCAGCGTTGAAGTGTTGACAATTCCTTCTCATCTGACTGCAGTGGCATCTGAGTGGTTCAGATGATGATATTAGTGAAATTCTGTGTGGAATAATCCTTTCTATGGAAACCCTTTAGATCTGGGCTTGTCCTGGCTCTGTCTTGGGTTAGCTGTCACCCTTTGTCACCTTGGGCAAGTCTCTTCACTTCTTGCCTTTTGTAGGACTGAATTTTATTTTCAAACGATGGTAGTATGTATAGAATAATACACTTTACACACTCATACATACACATTTGTTCACTTAAAAGACTGTCAAAAGAGAGTATTAATGATTTTGAAAAACTGTTCTTAGGTTTTAAGTGAAAAACAGACATACACTAGAGGCTTTTATAAGAATATATTAAAAATCAGCAGAGAAAACAATGTTTTTAAAATGTGTTTTTCTTGGTTATGGGATTACACATGATTTATTTTTTATGCTCTTTTATAGTTTATATTTTTTCAATAAATACCCATTATTTGTTGTCAGAAAATATTATATAAGATTCAATCAAACATAATCTAGACAAGTTTTTGAAAGTTTATATTTTAAGAATGTTTGTGCTTCTAACAGCATATTCCTAAATTTCAGGGCTAGCTTTCATTTCCACAAAGTAATATTTCTCTAGAATGTCCCTCAGCTCATAGAGTCTTGTTTACTCAGAAGAAATAAAGCTTGTAAAAGGGGAGTGAGGTTTGGGGGAAAACATAATGGAAGCTCTCTGCAAAGCAAATGCTACCATTGCCTTTCAGGTGTTCCAGTGCCTCTTAATTGAGGGTGAGAATTGTGGAGAAGATGCTCTAAGAGAAGCAGAAAGATTTGTTATTGGTGATGAAGAATTTGAAAGATTCTTGGAGCGCCACAAAGAAGTGTCCTGTTTGGTGCCTGAATCTAACCAGAAGGTTGTATAAAGCAAAAGTTGTTTTATCATCATACATTCAGACTGACTCCCAAAAGCGAAGTCTCTCAGCCAAGGGTCCCACACATTGTTATTTTAGAGGGTTCGTGGTGAGAAGTGGGAGGAGTGCCATGTCAGGGCAGATCGGGCTGAGGGCTGCCATTGGCTCTGCCACCTCCCAGCTGCAGGGTCTTTAGAGAGCTTCAGCTTCTCTATCCATAATGGATACAGTGGTACTTTGCAGATTACACAATTGTACGTAGATTCATGTAGATATTCTTTATATATGATTCATATATGTATAAGGTCCCTATGTGTCATACATGTATGACATAGCCCTTAAACACAGAAAGAACTAACGATACCACTCTATTGATATCAATATTATCACTTTACTTAGTTGAATAATCTCTATGTATAATTTTGTTATGTTGCATAGAATGTAGAAGAAATGTTTCCTGTTTAGTTTTCTAATGGAATGACAATTGGATCCATCCTATTACCACAAATTTCATACACAGATAAAACAAGGTTGGCCAAAGCATGTCCACACTGTGGAACTCTCAGGTATTACTAGAAGCAGGGGATCTAAAGATGTGTTCTCAGAAGCTACAGAAAAAAATCCATTAATAAGGAACCTCGTTATTAATGAAAGATACAAACTTAAAAAAAATTGATAGTATAATTGAATCCATAAAATTAAAAATATATGTCACACATGTCATAAAATTAAAAGTGAAATATGTTAACATGTTATACTGAATTGTATAAAGTATTATATATAAAAAGTTATTTAAATCAATAATCTATTAACACCAAAAAAGCAAAACATGCAATGGACATAAATGGTTTACAGAAGAAAAACAAATGGTGAATAAATATTTTAAGGGCATTTGATATTGTCTATATTCAAAGAAATACAAGATAAAATATGAAGCATAAAGTTGCAGTAAGAGGCAAGTTCATGTTGTTAGCAGCAGTGTAAATTATTGCAACTTCCCTAGAAAACGAATTGCTAACTTTATAACCTTTAAAATAGCCACATATTTGAATTTAGAAATTCTACCTTAAAACATGAAATATTCACAGATGTAGAGAAGTATTTATGTAAAGATATGTTACTACAGTATTAAGAATAATACTGGCTGGGCATGGTGGCTTACGCCTGTAATCCCAGCACGTTGGGAGGCCGAGGCGGGTAGATCACGAGGTCAGGATATCGAGACCATCGTTGCTAACACGGTGAAACCCCATCTCTACTAAAAATACAAAAAATTAGCCAGGCATGGTGGCGGGTGCCTGTAGTCCCAGCTACTCGGGAGGCTGAGGCAGGAGAATGGTGTGAACCCAGGAGTTGGAGCTTGCAGTGAGCAGAGACCATGCCACTGCAGTCCAACCTGGGCAACAGAGCAAGACTCAGTCTCACAAAAAAATAAAAAATAAAAGAAGAATACCAAAAAAATTTAAGATAGCCTGTCATTCAGCATAAAGAGAATGAGTAAATCTGTAGGTTCACAGAATGAAATGTTACACTGACTAACAAGCATATTCCAAAAATTTTTAAGTGACAAAGAGAAATTCTGATAATATAATAGTAGGTACAGATAAAAAACAGTATGCAAAATTAATTTGAAGTTTAAGCCTAATGTGTAAAAAACAGTGCATGTCTACATATTCCTATGGTTATCTTGGAGTAGTAGAATTATGAGTCGTTTTATTCACCTTTTTAACTTTTTGAACTTTAAAATTTTGTAACTTAAGTATTAGTTTTATTATTTTAAAAACAGCTTCTCCATCTGCCATCCAAAAATACACATACAGGAAAATCTACCCCATATGCTTAAGTAATGCTAGGAACTCAGAGAGCAGACATTCATTCCTTATGTTTTAGACTTCTGAGGCTCTAGGTAAATGGTTCAAGTTTAAAAGGTAACATTGAAGTGAACACGAATAAGAAAATCCCGGAATGGCGGACAGGATGACCATGAAAAAGAAGAGAAAGGGGGTAGAGGAGGTTTTCCTCTATGCACTATTTTATTTGATATTTTAAAACTCCATCTTAATTAAATAGCTAATATGACATTAAAGAAAATCTGGCTGAGTACCTCCTTTGTAAGAGGGGCTGTTATCCCTTTGACTCATCGCCATTTTCACTAATGCTTCATGAGCCAGGTTTTATCATCTCCGTTGTATACACCAAGAGGCCGAGTGGTAGGTGCTCATTTACCAGACTTGTATCAGGGGCAAAATCTGAACTTTGATGACCCCAAAGCCCACGAACCTTTTAGCCAGTTTGTTTCAAACTTCATCAAATCACCTGGGATCTTGTGAAAGGGCAGACCCTTACTCAGTGGGTCTGAGGTGGGCCCACCACTCTGCACCTGGAACTAGTTCCCAGATGATGCTAATGCTACCGGTACCCCACTAGACGTTCAATAGCAGGTCTGCTCCTATCCCTGCAGAGGAGTTGGCAAACGCTGGCCCCAGGGACGGGTCTGGCCTGCCACCTGTTGTAGTACAGGATGCAAGTTAAGAGTTGATGAGGGAAAACATCAAAACAAGAATCGTATTTGTGACCTGTGAACATTATGTAAAAGCTGTTTTTCTGGGCCCATAAATTAAGTTTCAGGGGAGTTCAGCCAAGCTATTTTTCTTATGTATCATCTGTGGTGGCTTTTGGGCTGCAAAGCACAGTTGATTAGTTGTGACAGACTGTGTGGCCTGCTAAGCAGAAAATATTTGCCATCTGGCCCTTTACAGAAAACATTTTGCAGACCCCTATCTACAAGGATAGGGATAGAAGGAATACCTTCCTATCAGCAGTACAGGTACAGCTGCTCTATTTGTATAGAGGGCATAACTATTGACAAGTAATGTTAGGGTTATATTAAAACCCTCAGGTCAATCCACCTTTTAGCTCCTAAAAGTAGCATTCAAGAGAGTTCTGCTTCATAAATTGAAAAGGGGGAAATTAGATACATGGTGGACAGAGTCATTGGAAATACCACGTAAGGAAGAAAAGGGCTCTCCAAAAGTGTGAAGGGATGGGGAAATTGCCTTGGAGTTCACTGTCAGGGAAGCCTGCAGGATGAAGGTTCTGATGTTTGACCTTTTCAGCAAAGAGCAGAGAATCCAGGCCTGCTGTGATCTGTTGGAAACCGAATGCACACAAACAGAGCCTTGTCTTGCGAGGGCCATGCCAAAGGCAACTCAAGGGAAATGAGAAATGCTGGATCCAAAATAATAACAATGCAAACACCTCAGGTGGACAGTTGAGCTCACATACTGAGAAATGCACCTGAAACTAAATTTGTATTAACTTCTCCTTTGCAGATGAAAGACTCCTACCTTATTCTGGATGAATACGTGAGTATTTCCAATGAGTTATAAAATTATCACTTAATTAATTAATTAGCAGCAGTGGCAGAGTTGAGTTCCATAAGCATAATTATCTAGTACCTATTTGTCCTTCTTAATTAGCACTTCACAGTTTGATGGTCAGTGATTACGATTATGCCAGAGCCCTCACTTCTCAGGGTCAAACGTGAAGCTAAACACTGGAACAGCACATGCTTGAACCCAGGTCCCAGCATTGATTTGCTCTGAGCACCACGTGATATTGTCTGCCATATAGCTATGCATCCGTGGATGTCACATGTAACTCGTTATCACACACAACAAAGTCGTCTGTTATGTAGTCCTGGGCTGGAGGCTCTCCTGAGATACGGCATCCAGCCTACTTTGGAGCACTATTGGCCGTATCACTCTTCTCATTATCTTGGAGAAACCAGACACAGCCAGTTTGTCTTCTGATTGGTAAACCTTGGCTTTGGTAAGGAGAGGCTTATGGTTCTGCTCCAAACACCACTGATATTATTCCTACCCTCACTGCCTTCCAAAGGAAGAGGGAAACCCATGCTTCTCAAAATTGAAAAACAAATCACTTCCCCCTTTCCTCTGTCTTTTTTTTTTTCTAGATCTATAACCTTTGCCACTCTTTCTAGCAAAGGACAAATAAGTCCATTCGAAGACGTATTTTAAAGAAATGAGCTCCAGCCACCTTGAGTTCCATATTTAAATTGGATTTGTTTTTTGGAGAAATGCTTATTGTCACTTTTGATGTTTGCTTTTATTTTCTTTTCTTTTTTTTCTGAGATAGGGTTTCCTGTCATCTAGGCTAGAGGGCAATGGCATAATCTTGGCTCACTGCAGCCTCAGCCTCCTGGGCTCAGGTGATCCTCCTGCCTCAGCCTCCCAAGTAGCTGGTACTGCAGGTGTGCATTACCACACACAACTGGATTTTTATGTATTTTTTGTAGAGATTGGATTTTGCCATGTTGCCCATGCTGGTCTTGAACTCTTGGGCCTCCCTAAATGCTGGGATTCCAGGTGTGGGCCCCCATGCCCAGCTGGTATTTTGTTATTTTCAAGTTAACCAATCAGTGTTTATAGCCATTTCATTTCTTAACAATATAAGCTTTCTTAATAGAGCGTAAGGGAAAAGGTGATAAGGAAAATACTCAGTTTCTGGGTCCAAGGTAGAGAGGAAAATTCAAACAATTTATTTTTGGAGTGGAAATTATTATGATTGACTAGGGATTTTGACCAGCATCCCTCAGCAAGCTAGCTGGTCTCCACATATTTGGAAAACACACAGTTGAACCAAAATTTGCTTTTACCAATTGAATAACATTTTGCTTCAACAAGTATTACTTGTGCTCCTATGAAACACTCAGTGTAGGTCGTAAGGAGTGTGAAGAAATCATTTCTGCCTACAGAGTAGAATAGGACAGAATAAAACAAATGAAAATGGATGGAATAAGATTAAAACAAAGAGCCTTAGCAGGTCATAGAAGACTCTTGTTGATCTGGCACCTGCCTGCTTCAGCAGCGCCTTTCTTTACATCTCTCTCCCTTTCTCAAAACAAGCCTTTATTAATATTTACGTGTGTACATGCATGTACTTTATACATGCACATCGTTTCTATTCCAGAAATACCGTCTACCTCCAATTTCCCCAGTACATCATGCTATATCACACTTCTGTGCTTTTATGATACCATTCCCTCCAATTTGAAATCTCAACGCATAATTCAGATGTCAGCATTTGGGGGAAGCCTCTCCTGATTACCCCTTCCCCCAGTGGAGCTACATCTGCCCACGCGGAGTGCATATCATTCTGTTTATCGTGCACTTAGGTGTCTACTGTGCTTAGCCCAGCCTCTTCCAACAGATCATGAGCTGGTTGAGTAGAGAGATGCGGTCCAAAGGGTTCAATATCAGCCACAGATTTCAAAAAATATCTGTCGACATGACTGGAATATCAAAAGCTATTTGGGATTAATACTGTAGATTGAGTTCTACAGGATTTATCACATGGAAATATACCAGTTTCTGTTATGAATTTTCTAGATGCGCTTTCTGAACTGTAGAAAGGGACGGAAGGACCCTTCCAAGTCCATCCTGGATGTTGGTGTAGAAGAAGCTATAAAATTCAGTGGATTTGATGAAAAGATGTTTCTGAAGCGAGGAGGAAAATACACATGGAGTAAGGCTGATCTGAAGCTGGATTGGTAGAGCGGAAAGTGGAACGAGACTTCAACACACCAGTGGGAAAGCCTCAGGAGTGACTGCCATTGTCTGCAGTGCTATCCCGTTGGTATTTCCCAGTGGCTGAAAACCTGATTTTCTGCTGCACATGACATCTGATTACCTGTGGTCACTGAACACATAAATAACTTGGATAGCAAATCCTGAGACAATGGAAAACCACGAACTTTACTTCATTGACTTATAACCTTGTTGTTATTGAAACAGCACTTCTGTTTTTGAGTTTGATTTAGCTAAAAAGAGGGAATACACACAGGAATAATGGCCCCAAAAAAGCTTAGACAAGGTCCCTATACACAGGACCTGACCTTTAGCTCAATGGTGCATTTGTAAGAAATAAGCTCTAGTGATATCTGTGGGGGCAATATTTAATTTGGATCTGACATTTTAAACAATGTTTACTGTGATTTCTGTATTTCCATTTTAAAGCCATTTCTTGTTCCAGGTTTGTTCGTTTGACAGAGTCAATATTTTTTGCTAAATATCCAGATACCAGTTTTCACATCTGAGACATTATGAAATATCTGCTTTAATTATTTCTGCTGGTTATAATGCTTTTTTTTTTTTTTTTTGGCTTTTATGCCATTGCAGTCTTGTACTTTTTACTGTAAAGTATAGAAATAGTCAACAGATGTTTCCAAGAATGTATGATATGATAATCCTACCAATTTTCAAGAAGTCCCTAGAGGAGATAACACATATTTACATGTGTACATGCATGCAGTTTATACGTGCACATTGTTTCTATTCCAGAAACAACGTCTACCTCCAATTTCCCCAGTGCATCATGCTATATCACACTTCTGTGCTTTTATGATTCCATTCCCTCCAATTTAAAAAAGGGTGCAGCCCTGCGCATGGTGGCTGTTCCGTGAATGCTGGCTACCTATATATGTGTGGTACCTGTTGTATTCCTTTCTCTTCGAAGATCCTGAGCAAAACCAAGATACGCTTTCCATTTGATGATGGCGTTGACATGGGAGCAGTGCTTGTACTGCTTTGTTCACCTATCATTTGGCCACATGAGGCTGTCAGGCAAAAGAATAGGAGTGTAGTTGAATAGCTGGTTGTCCCTACGTTTCTGAGAGGTGACGGCACACAGGATTGGCATAAGATATCCTAAAATCACGCTGGAACCTTGGATGAAGAAGAATGTGAGCAAGAGCAGAGAGAGTGCCTGGATTTCATGTCAGTGAATCCATGTCACCATATCATATTTTTGAATGAACTCTGAGTCAATTGAAATAAGGTACCATCTAGTTCAGTTTAAGAAGAGTCAGCTCAGAGAAAGCGAGCATAAGGGAAAATGTCACGTAAACTAGATCAGGGAACAAAATCCTCTCCTTGTGGAAATATCCCATGCAGTTTGTTGATATAACTTAGTATCTTATTGCCTAAAAAATAATTTCTTATCATTGTTTCAAAAAAGCAAAATCATGGAAAATTTTTGTTGTCCAGGCAAATAAAAGGTCATTTTAATTCAGCTGCAATTTCAGTGTTCCTCACTAGGTGGCATTTAAATGTTGCCTGATGTCATTAAACACCATCCAGAAATTCTGCTTCATAATCTGTTCTCAAGACTTGGTGATTTTGAAAGTTTTGGCTTTTGTGACTTTGTTTCTCAGAAAAAAAAAATAATCCTACTTAAATTTTAAGTCACTATAATTCAATTTAAATATGTGCGTGTCTCATCCAGGATAGGATAGGTTGTCTTCTATTTTCCTTTTTACCTATTTACTTTTTTGTTAGAAAAGAGAAAAATGAATTATAAAGCTGTTCCCCATGAGTTTTGATTGTATCTAAGCTATGATGACCTTCATATAATCAGCATAAACATAAAATAAATTTTGTACTTAACATGAGTGCACTTTGCTGATCCTTATGGCACGGTGGCTCACGCCTGTAATCCCAGCACTTTGGGAGGCCGAGGTGGGTGGATCACGAGGTCAGGAGTTCGAGACCAGCCTGGCCAACATGGTGAAACCCCGTTTCCACTAAAAATACAAAAATTAGCCAGGCATGGTGGCATACACCTGTGATTCCAGCTACTCAGAAGGCCCAGGCGGGAGGATTGCTTGAACCTGGAAGGCAGAGGTTGCAGAGCTGAGATAGTGCCACTGCACTCCAGCCTGGGTGACAGAGCAAGACTCCATCTCAAAAAAAGAAAAAAAAAAAGCAAGAGTTTAACAAAGAAGGGTCACATGTGTGAAAGCCCCAAGGACACTGTTTGATATACAGCAGGTATTCAATCAGTGTTACTTGAAACCAAATCTGAATGTGAAGTTTGAATCTTCTGAGTTGGAGTGAATTTTTTTCTAGCTGAGGGAAACTGTATTTTTCTTTCCTTAAAGAGGAATGTAATGTAAAATAAAATAAAACTATAAGCTATGTTAAATACATTTTCAGCTATTTTATCCACTATTATTCACGTGCCACGCCCACCTCCC